ATAATAATAAATCAGAAAAAGGCTCGAAATTATCAATCGACACTTAAAATGCTGAACAAAATTAGGGTTAAAAATGAATTTAGACGGAAAAGCAAACTGAAAATTCCCGCGCCACGGCAGCTGTCCACCGTGTCACGGGAAACTTTCCCGGCTGTCGGTGGGATTTCCCGTGACACGGGAAACCTGTTGTGACACGGGAATTTCCGTGTCCTTTCCGCGTAAACCCTTAACGCGTTTTCTCCCCCATTTACTAAATATTTCCCGCGTCACACAAAATTTGCACCGTGTCACGGGAATGTTTCCCGTTTGACAGTGGAATTTCCCGTGTCACGGTACAGTTTGCCATGTTGCGGGATACTTTTTTTAGGGTTTTTATCATTTTAGGGTTCCGTGTGTTCCCTCAGCACATTTTTTCTATAAATACCCCCTCATTTCTGATGTACGGGGCATCAATTAATTCTCTATTTTTCTCTCTTCTATGCTCTAGCCTAAACACTAGCCTACCCTTCTTCTTTCAAAATTCCTTCTTCAAGTACTCCAAGGAGTCCATACTTTACTCGTGGTTCTGTCCTTAAGCCAAGGCGTGAAAGGTAGAACTGTTTGAGGGTTTGGCCCCAAATCAATTCTATTTAATTTAATTTAATTATTGTTTTATTATTATTTCCTTGAAGTTACTAACTCGTTTATTATTTTGTAGTTGCAAACAAACAGAATCAAAGTAAGAATTATGTTCCTTTTATTTCTATTATTTTTCTAACGATTTTGTATTGTTAAAATTATTGTTAAATTGCTTCCAATATTAATGTTTATTCTATTATTTTTATGATCACCATATTGCATGTTAAAGGGAATATGTAATTGAAAATCACGCCTAATAAGATAATTTGGACAACCGGTGTAGGTTTCTTTTTAATCTTCTTATTTATTAAAGTGATCACTAAGATTTTAGAATTATGTGTTGCATTAATATTCAACCAATTTAGCTTAATAATAGTTTGGAGCAAATTGAATCTTTGTTTATATGCCGTTGAGATCGCAGGATTCACTTTTCACTAAAAGAATCGAGTAGAGGCCAATACGGGCGAATATGACTCCGTGACTCACTTCGTACCATCATCCCCGATCCTCCTTTCGTGGTTCCAAACCATATGGAGTTAGTAATCTCATGGATTATGAATGGGGTGTCACCTTCACGGGTCAATCGTTGTTGCCTTTCGTTGTCCCTTTATTGTGGTTGCCTTTTTTATGATCCGTGAATGGTTTACAAATTCCTAAAAACTTGTGGCGGCTCCCTACTTTATTTGTCCCTAATCGTATTATGTCAATTCCCACTTTCTATGTGTGCCAAGCATATTCACACATGCTTTTAACGTAGGCGCACTTCGAATGACGCCTACAGATTTGGGCTTATAATATATCGTTGGAAAGCTCTTTTAAAACCCCATCCAAATATTTAATCATTGGACCCATATTTTGGACCAAAATAAACTAGATTAAACATTTTTATAAAAAGGACACAAAATAAATGATTTTAAAGGACACGAAATGAATTATTTTGGGTTTAAAGGCACAAAAAGAGGAAAATAAGTTATGGTTTAGGGAAATGGGATAAGAGTTGGGATGGTTTTATGAAATGGAAATACGGATTTAAGCACTCCAAGATTAAATACTCAACCCGACCACTAATGGAGGTGAAAGATTGTTCATCATCGGGTTTGGTTTTGAGGAGATATTTTTAGGTGTCTACAGAAGCCCCCACTTTGACTGAGTTTGTAGAAACGTCAGTTTTGAAAATGATAGCCAAATTAGTCGATAGGGATGGAGAATGATTTAAGACGTTCTGCAATCCTAAATCACTTTGTATACGCCGATACCTGAAAAAATTTTAATTCCACAGATAAAAGAGTAAAGGATTGAATGCTTATCTGACACCAGTGTATCGGTCACAAATGAGTTTGGTATTTTCCTATGCTTGAAGGAATCCACTGGATTACGTTTGTTGAAATGCTTTCCATGCTTGAGGAAAGCCAACAGATGAGTTTGGTAGCTTTCTAAGCCTGAAGAAACCTACCGGATGACACTTTCCATGCTTGAGGAAAGTTGACAGATGATGAGATTGCAAGTCTTTGTGTATCGAGAACCTTGCGTCATGAAAAGATGGTGGTTCGATTGTCCCCGAACGTGGATTGTAGATGGTTCGCTTGTCCCCGGACGTGGGCAGTAGTTGGTTCTCTTGTCCCCGAACGTGGGCTGTAATTGGTTCGCTTGTCACCGAACGTGGGCTGGAATTGGTCCGCTTGTCCCCAAACGTGGGCTGTAAATGGTTCGCTTGTCCCCGAACGTGGGCTGTAAATGGTTCGCTTGTCCCCAAACGTGGGCTGTAGATGGTCCGCTTGTCCCCGGACGTGGGATGTAAATGGTCCGCTTGTCCCCGGACGTGAGCTATAGATGAGACCTGCAAAATAAAATTTACCAAGGGACTCGTATATACAGTGATTGACTTGACCAACTGACTTGACCAAGTTTGACTTGACATGACATGACATGTGTATGACTTATGATTGTGTGTGTCTTGAGTGAGTGTGTGCACTGACATAAGCAATTAAAAATGCAAGAGCAAAAAATTTCCGTCATTTTTGTCATGAGTGGAGGGTACCGACTTTCTCCCGAAAAAGAAAGACGTGAAAAATGAAGTTTTGTTTTTAAACTTCCCCAAAATAAAAGTCAAGATAAAAAAGGGAAGAAGTTTTGAACTTCCTTGTTGAGCAAGACAGATGAATCACATGGATTTTCTTCTTGTCATATTGAACTGGTCGTTTTGAGTATATTGTATGCATGATGCATGTTCTTAGGCTAGGAGACTAAGGGCAATTACGTCATGTGACACGATAGGTGAATGAACTTCGGTCATGGAGCTAAGCATCATATATGGTGTAAAGAAACGATCTTGAACATTACTTAGGTCTTGAAGCTAAGCACGTATATATAGATGAAGTGATCGATGAGTATCGCATAACATAGGTCAAGGAGCTAAGCACGATATGTGATGTATGAAACAATGAACATTGTTTAGGTCTAGAAGCTAAGCAAGTATACAATGTCTCTTTTGATGTTGTCTTGAAAGATGACGAAACATGCACAGTATTGAAGTAAGATTTCATGATAGAGGGTTCCTAGAAGGAAAGGTGATATGGATATGTGTGTGTAAGTGAAGTGTGTGAATGTGATACTAAGGCTGGCTGCAAGGGTTATGGCGATGGAAAGAGATGTGAGAAGAGTCAAAGATGATGACTCTTTAGGCTAGATAGGCAAAATGATGTGGGTTCAAGCCCCCAAGTCTAGCTCTAAATGGGTAGGGTCATAGGATTAAGAATTGGATATTCTTCGACTCGATCATGCATATGAATGTAGTCGCACCTCAATGTGAGGTTGCCTACGTATCTGTTAGGAATCAGGCCGAACGTAGCTCTAACCAAACTTTGCACAAGTGTGTACACCTTAAAGAGGTCTTTCAAGGGTTGTAATGTGGTTAAGCTGATGGTTTAAGGAAGAAAGGGGTAAAAAACTCAAGACCCGAGAGAAGCCCCCAAGATATGCAATTATGTATTAAACTTTGCAAGTTTTATTTTTCATATATTTTTTTTTTATTTTGAATTTTTTTTTTTTTTAGTTCTTTTGAATCAATGTAGGCAATCTCAGATCATGCGGTCCATCACTCACTTAGAATTCATGTTTCTCAGGTACAGTACCAAGCACTCGATGAGAGAAACAAATTGAGACGTGTTCATATCAAAGACATTGGAACACTTGCCTTTAGACATTGTTTTTTTGTTGCTTTGCTGCTTTTGTTTTTTGTACTTGCTTTTTGAATGTTATACAATTACACATCTTCCAATCCCAGGCTTAAGTGAATGTGGATTGAATAAAAAAGGTCAATCAATAGACGAGGCTCAAAGTGGTTGACGAAAAATGAATATGTTATTAAGCTGTTAATAGGAAATGACAGGGTTGCAAAGGTGCCTCAAGTCATTGGTGTACCTTACCTTCGACCCAATGAATATGATTGGGTCGTAGGTAAGGTGGGCTTAGGTTCGGTTTGGGCTCATTTTAATATTTTGGCCGTAACTTATTCGTTATAACTCGGATTTGGGCTTATAATATATCGTTGGAAAGATCTTTTAAAGCCCATCCAAATATTTAATCATTGGACCCATCTTATGGACCAAAATAAAATGGATTAAACGTTTTTATTAAACGGACACGAAATGAATGATTTTAAAGGACACGAAATGAATTATTTTTGGTTTAAAGGCACAAAAAGAGGAAAATAAGTTATGGTTTGGGGAAATGGGATAGGATTTGGGTTGGTTATATGAAATGGAAATATGGATTTAAGCACTCCAAGATTAAATACTCAACCCGACCACTAATGGCGGTGAAAGGTTGATCATCATTGGGTTTGGTTTTGGGGAGACATTTTTAGGTGTCTACAGACTACTTCAAGGACGAATGCTTCTTGTCCGCCTGTGGGTTAAGTCCCATTTTTCCCAAGGGTAGATCCACTTGCATCCGGAGTGTTTGTTATTTTATTCTTTTATTACAAACTTTCCATAATTTCTTCTAACTTTAATTCTATTCATGCAGCCGACGCCTCACTACTACAAAAAAGGCCAAAGAGACCCGTTAGAAATAGCATAAGAGACCTGTTTAGAAGAGGTCTCTAGCTCACAGGTCTCTTTGCTAAAGAAACCTGTTCAACTGAACAGGTCTCTTTGTTATCAATAAGAGACCTGTTATGTAAGGTAACAGGTCTCTTCGCATGTATATACATCATATATTTACGAGAAGGGGAAGAGACCTGTTATTTCATACAACAGGTCTCTTTGATAGCCATAAAGAGACCTGTTTTGTCAGGTAACGGGTCTCTTTATAATTTTTCTTTTTTAAAAAAAAATTATAAATTGACGATATATATTTATTATTTTGTAATTATTCTACTAAAATTGAAAATTACAAAACCAAAAAATTAGATAAATTTACATAAACTTACATAATTATGGAATTTACTAGTAGTAACATTTACAAGTATATACGAACAATAATTTACATGTATAAGAGAATTTATGGAACAAGTAAATAATAACTAATGGAAATAATAATTTACAATAAGTTATCAAAACTAACAACATTCCCACAAATTTTATACGGCAAGTGAATCCAACCATCTCTTTGGTAATTTCTTTAGCCCTCCATATATCAGCTAAGCAAGTTTCTTGAATTGGTCATCTGGCCTCTAAAAACCTGTATACCATTAAGAGAATCAATAAAAAAAAAAAAAAAAAAAAAAGCTTCAAGGGTTATAATTCAGGTTAAAAACTAGACATCAACAACATAAACACAACCTTACACGATTTAAACATCAATAACAAAATTAAGGGGATAAAATCATATATTATCCCATATGCAATCTTCACCGCATAAATCAACTCTTGGGCACCTAAATCATCTTTTATACAAAATAAACCCAGAAAAATCATCAATATTAAAGTAATCAATTGACCTAAACAGCAAACTGCAAAGGAAATAATATACTTAATTTAACATTAAAAAAAACGAAAAACCCAAGAAAATACCATCAATAACAAACCCCTATAAACCAACCCTAAGCCTTAACCTCTAACAAACCGCCCACACCCCCGTGAAAACCACCCCAACCCCCGTATAAACTACACTCACCCCCGTGAAAACCATCCCGACCTCGTAATAAACCGACCCAACCTCGTCATAAACCGACCCAACCCCGTGAAAAACCAACCCCTAGTGAAAATACCCCAATCCCGTAAGACACTAGCCACCAACGAAAAAACCAAAAACTACCCAATCTAAACTATAGCAACCTATTTTTTAAAAAAGAAACAAACAAACCATAAACCATTGCCATAGAAACACCTTGTCAACAACCCAAAAACTTTTCAGAATTAAATTGATATGGAAACATACCTTTTTAAGACTAATTCAATTGTAGAATTATTTAGGCAAATTTGACCATAAGACTCTAGATCTGGAGTATTTATGGTCATAATAGACGTTGAAAGCCTCAAACTTTGAGTTAAAAGAAGAAGGCAACGCCGGTGTTGAAGGAAGATGCAGCGTCGTTAATGAGGAGGAGTTAATTGCTTCGTGAGAAATAAAAATGAGAAATGAGATGAGACAAGTGATGAGGTGAAAGAGAAAGAGACGTATAAAGGGGAACAAGAAAAGAGATTCATATGAACATGACTGATAATGAGCTGTATAAATGAATAAGAATTAAAAAGGGAATTTTTTTTTCTTAAAAAAAAAACAAAGAAAAGGCGAGAGTACGCTAGTTGTGGTGGGTCCTTAATCCTTATGCGCATATATAAGAGACCCGTTCAGCAAACCAACAGGTCTCTTATTTTCGTCCCAAAATCTCATGTGGGTCCTTTGACATTTTAGAGACCTGTTATCTCTAATATTAGGTCTCTTATATCAAAGAGACCTGCTGTATTAACCAACAGGTCTCTTATTATAGGTCTCTTTTGCCATTTTTGTAGTAGTGCCTTAAAGATGGTTGATCCGGCCAAGACTTCGGCTAAGTCGGCGACGCTGCTGCACAAGGAGGCTGCTATTGCAAGGAAAGCAGCCGTTAAAGCGAAAGAGTCCAAGAAGGGCGGGGTAAGACCTCCTGTCTTAGTATAAATTTTTTATTTTTTATTTTTTATTTTTTTTACTAAGGCAATTTACCGGTTGGGTATACTTAACCTTTTTCATTTTGCAGCACTCTTTAAAACGTGTGCCACGATCCTTCTCCAAGCTTTTCAAAAGGCAAGGAGAGGATCTAGAAAAGGCTCTGGCTGCGAAGGCCGCTAGAAAGGACCCTCCCCGGTCAAACTCTTCTGCCAAATCCGATCGTCCCACGCCCGGTGGCAAATCCCCTACTGCAATGAAGATTCTGAGTGAAGGCTCAGAGCGTTCGCAGCAAGAAGCGTCGGATGCCTCCACGGCATCGAAGGGTAGCATGCCACCTAATGTTGCAGTCGGTGTGGCAACAACCGGGGAGGAAGAGACGCCTACACCCCATCTAAATAACCAAGGTAAGGGAAAGATTGAAATACCTTGGCCACTTGACTTCATGAGAGTCATGACTAAGGTAGACCCCTCCGACGAGCCGGCAACGGATGAATGCCAGGTATGCTGCCTCTTTCTCACAGAGCACATCTACTTTTGGTGCAGATCTTACATCCGACGAGCCGGATCTTGCTGGTTTCGCAAAACGGATGGTGAGGACCCTCACCCGATCAGAGAAGAATTCAATACCTGATCTGCAGGTAGTGGACTTTGACCGGATAATGGGCCAGCTGACTGAGGTAAAGAATCCCACAACCCTGATATCTTTTCTTTATTTTAACTAAGTATATCATAATCCGACTGTTCTTTTCCCAAGTAATGCTGAGAGTAGACGGACTCCGGGGCCCCTTTAGGCGAAAACAGGAAGAGGTAAATGACGCCAAACGGAGGGCCCTTGAAAACCTCAACTCTACTGAATATGCTAATTATATGTGTGATTTATAGATTAAAGAAGTAGAGTTGAAACAGGAGGAGCTGATCCGGAGCTTGACGGCTGCAAATGATGAAGCCACCAGCCGGGCTAATGACCTTGAGAAAAAGCTGAAGGATGTAAAATCTGATCTCAAGGCATTCGAAGATGCCGACAAGGAAAACATCCAACTCCGGGCAGACATCTCCCGTCTAGGGATCGAGATCTTCAAACTGCGGAACAAGCAGTTGGATGAGATCGCCCAGGACCAAAAACGGCTGATGGAGGAAAATGAGCTGGACAATGCAGCCCGCCTGAAGATCACTTGGAGCCTGATCTACCCATATATAGACTTTGAAGTCTATAAACTTAGGTATGAGTATTCCACTGAGGTGTATGATGCCCAAGTTCTAGGTGAGGCTCCTCCGCCTCGCTTCCAAGACTGGGCTGCCGAGCAAGGGTATGAAGTGTCGGACACTTAGGACCCGGCGGAGGTAGAGCGAAACGAAGGTAATCAGCCTCAAGTAGCTGATGACCAATCTGAAGCCCTCCCAGCTGGCTTTAACCAGTTGGAGCATTAGCTTCAACCTCAGCCTTAGGCGAGCCTCCCCAAATTCTGCGGCAGTATGCCAACTACTTTTCTTTGCCGGCTTGTATGCCGTGTAATGTTGTATCTTTACCTAATGTGGAGTTGGGTTAACAATTTGTTTTTTTGCTTCTTCACCGGATGTGACTCCAGTTAACACTTATTCTGGCCATTGTGCCATTTTCGATATTATTGAAGTATTCTGGCCTTTGTGTTTGAATTTTACAATTTTAATTTTGCGTATATTTGCAATTCTTTAATATTTTGCCTAACTTAAAAAAGCATGCGGCAATTTTCAATCCTGGTGCTCTTTCCCATGGACGGCTATGTGGTTGGTTTCATTTTTAATTGATTGATTGGCTTGAAAACACTTGATACTTGGAGAAGTATGAGGTGTTTTTAGGCCAATCAATCACAATGGTGATTGCCCCAAACCAAGTGCACAGGCGGCCATTAGAACGGGTGCTTCGAGTCTCCTATCCAGACTGTAATATTTTGTCTAGGATTATTACATAGCCATTACACAAAATCTTTTGCCCCAATTGGGAGAGAGAGTGCAACTTTGAAATAAATAATCCAAGTGGAAAACTTCTGCCGGCAACCGACTAATGCCTTGGGGCATCCGGTATTCAGTAACTTAACCGTTTCTCGTAGATTATTCTGGTCAGACGGCTATGAGTTGACCAATTTGGTCGTTCAATTTTTTTCGACTGCATAGGTACGTAGAACTGACGAATAGTCTGTTCTTTGCGACGATTGCACCCGGAGGGGTGTCGCCGGACGCCATTGTCCATGTTAGGACAGGCGGTTTTATAAAATAAGCAACCATCCGGCCATTTGGCCTTTGGTCTTGTTTGAGACCGGATGTATAGCCACTCATCGTTTTTGTACTTAGTTTTTTTCAAGCTGGCCATTGGCCACGCGATATCGTATTTATACTAAATGTCAATTTAGTTGGTTAAGAAATTTGTCCGTCTAGGTATTACCCAGGCGGAAGGGTAAGTATAACATTAAATTACACTAAGTATCAAACTTAGTTGATTGAACTAGTAATCCGTCTGAGTATTACCTAGGCGGATAAATAATTATATCATTGAATCTACACTAAGTGTCAAACTTAGACAGTTAAACATAAGTTTTGTCTGAGGATAACCCAGGCGGATAAGTAATTATAAAAATAGCAAAACAATTTTGCAAACAAAGCCTGATTTCTTATTGATTGACTCACTGTTTACAAAAAATTTACATTTCTCAGAAATAGTACTTTTTTAAGTTATCTACATTCCAAGTTCTAGGTAGACGCCGGCCGTCTAGAGTTTCTAGATGGTAAGTGCCATCCCTGACTTCTTCATAAATCCGGTAGGGGCCTTCCCAATTAGGAGTTAGCTTTCCAGCTTCATTGGCCCTACCGGTTGCCTCCATTTTTCGTAACACAAAGTCGTCAACTTTCAAAGGACTCTTGCGCACTTTCTTGTTGTAGACTCTGGTCATTCTCAGACGGTATATCTCATGGCGCAGGGCAGCATTGCCCCTGCATTCCGGGAGGGAGTCCAATGCTAGCCGCATGGCCTCCCACTTTGCCTCTTCATCATAAAGCATGACTCTTAGAGTCGGCTCGTAATGTTTAATGGGCAAGACGACTTCAACATCATATACCATAAGAAATGGGATTTCACCGGTTGCCCCTTTAGCAGTAGTCCGGATGGCCCATAGGACATGAATTAGCTCTTCTGCCCATAAGCCACCGGCTCTTTCAATTTTCTTTTTTATGCCGTCTGAGATGAGTTTGTTGAAGGCTTCAAATTGGCCGTTTGCTTGGGGTCAGCCGACTGATGCAAAACAATGTGAGATACCCTGATCTCCCAACCAAGTCTTAAGATGATGTGTTTCAAACTGAGGGCCATTATCAAACAACATAGACATAGGTACCCCGAACCGGGTGATGTTGTTCTTCCAAATGAAAGAGATGACATCCTTTGTCTTGATGTTCTTGACCGGATCAGCTTCTACCCGTTAGGTGAAATAATCCACAGCCACCAAAATGTAGCGCTTTCCGCCTAGAGCAGGCGTATAAGGACCAAGGATATCCATGCCCCATTTAGCAAACGAGACTGGACTGTGGATTGCCGTCAGATCAGTAGCCGGGCGGTGAATAAG